ATGTTAAACCAAGACTTTCAAAAATAACATTTTTTCAATTATTTTACTCTCAATAAAACATCATTATTAATAATTCTTTTAGTGAGACTAAATATTACAAATGTATAGCTTATAAATAAAATATTTTCAAACTCATTTCATTTTTATCCCATATTTTAAAAGCTCAGTTTTTTATGTTTTATAATATACATAATAATTGGTATAATAGTACATGTATATAATTTATTACATAATAAATTATACAAAATGCTGTATAATTCCTTCATTGGCAAGGGGCTGATAGGAAGTATACTTTTCCCAGCTGGACAAAGGGACTGAAGAAACCCAGAAGGCAGAAATCAAGCAGGGAGGGGAAAGACCTTGAAACCCTTGGAAACATGGGAATAAGGCCAGTGGTAGATTATAAAGGAAGGGGTCTACTGTCTCCAAAATGAATATAATCACGAACAGTTGGAATGTTTTCAGAGTTACTAACCCACTAAAGGAGTTATCTGCCTGGATAGAATTTGCTACTACACTGAGACTCAGTGACTATATTCCCTCTATACCTGTTCCCTCTTCCCTACCCAGTTGCTGCCTGATGAATTAGCATCTATTACCCTGAAATCTTGTTCATATGCTGCCCACTCTGTCTCAAGATAAAAATAAGTTCATTTTCATTGCACCCTGAATATAATATTTAACTGGATAGGCACATGACCAACAAGATGGTAGAGTAAAAATTTTCTCTAATCCTCACAACTTCTCAAAGCTCTCAAGAATATAATTTATGTGCAAAAGATAAAGCATTTTCAGTTTTCTCCATGGCCTAGGTCACCAAGAACTCTTATATGGTAACAACTCGATGTACTAACAGCAAAAGGGCTAATCTCTAGCCTTTAATGTACTCACTCAGCTCACCCTCTTAAATCTCAATCCATGAGTTTGCAATGGAACTGAAGTTTACCACTCTTCCACAGCCCAGGAAAACCAAAAATCAGAAGCTTATTGTGCCAAAATAATGAAAGAAGTGTGTGTGTGTGTGTGTGTGTGTGTGTGTGTGTGTGTGTGTGTGTGAGAGAGAGAGAGAGAGAGAGAGAGAGAGAGAGAGAGAGAGGCAGAGAGAGAGAGAGAGAGAGAGAGAGGCAGAGGCAGTCTCTATACAAGCTTTTTTAAGGGAAAGACCCCAGCATCTGAGTGGGGCCAGTTCTAAACTACCAACCCATCTCCCACCACCACAAAGAAGTCATGTGGATAGAGACTGAGGCTAGTGAAATGTTAATTGCCAGAGTGGGAGGATACTGAGACATCTTCAAGGTTTGGCCCTCATGGAAAGTACCATCAAAGAGAATGAAGTCAGAAATGAAAATCAGTGGGGGAAAAAAAAGAAAAAAAACCCTAAATTATCAGAGAGTTCAGGATGAATAAAATTCAAAGACAAATAATTAAACTAACAAGGCAAACAATATAGTTTTCAAACCTGATAAAATAATCCAGGTAAATATGAATAAATATTGCAAGACAAAGAAAAATGAATTGATAACTTGCTGAGACAGAGACCCCTGTATATTTTCAAGAGAGCCTGGAACCACAGAAGGATGTGCTTGGATGGTTTAAAAGAGAAATAAGAATTGTGAAAGTAGAAATTGGGGCCTACATGCTTGATAGGGCTTATGAACAATAATACTAGACCGTTGTCACCCAGGATAATCATAAGAAGGGGGGGGCAAGCTCACTTCTGGGGCCCCATCTTGCCAATGCTAATCAGAATCAGGCAACTGAGCCCCAGAGATAAAGCTACATGTGTTATTTCTTCCTTATGATAAGTTATGCTAAAAAGAAAAAATCATGCTTCTGAGACAAATTGGCTGTGCGTGATCCTGGGCAGACCATTTAACCTCTGAGTGTTCCAAATAGCTATCTAAGACAATAAAGTAATGAGAAGGTACTGACCTGAATTGGTAGTTGGGGGTGGGGTGGTCCTCATCTGGGAGTTGGCTGTATGGAAGAAACAACATGTCTAGTCTTTAACCTAGATAGCTAGGTGGCTTAGTGGATAGAGCATTGGGCTTGGAGTCAGGAAGATTTGAGTTCAAATATGGACTCAAACATGAATAACCCTGGGTAAGTCACTTAACTTAAGGAAATAACAAACCACTCTTGTATCTTTGCCAAGAAAACCCCATGGAGAGTATTGGTATGACATGGTCCACTGGGTCAGATATAATTGAATGACTGAATAAAGTATAATGTCTGTAATACTATTTTTCCTAGTTTAGATAATAATCAATTGAATTTTAGAGAGGAAAATGTAGAAAAATGCTTCTGGTATGGACCCATTGATAGACTGTATCTGTCATTAAAGGACAAACCTAGCTAAGTTCTGAAATACTTATCAGCAGAAGTCTGACCAGTTGTGGCTTGAGCAGGGTCATATAACTATCAAATTATACAGTCACTGTGAATTTGAGTTCAAGTCTTTTCTCTTGCTCTTTCCAAAATGCTACACTCTGGTATGGTTTGCTCAATTGAAGAAAAAAAAATCATTAACTGGCCTTAAATCTACTGATCTTATTAAACGGTTATATCACTATTCAAACTCAGTTAACATAAATACAAATGACCTGGAAAATATCCCTTTATTCTGAAAAAAGTTCCTACCTTAAGAATTCCTTAGGAAAAAATAAAAGAAAAAATTAAGGTACTCTTTGGTACTATTGCATATTCATATTATATGTTTTTTTTATGAAAAATTACAGCAACTTCATTTACATTGTTTCATTGGTTCTACCACACCAATGAATGAGTACTGTGTTTTACTATCTTCATTTCATAGCTGGGGAAAATGAGGCACAGATCGATTGGTCCTTCATTTAGTGAGTTAACTGAGACTATAAACCAGGTGTCAAGTAATCATAATGCCTGTTAGAAGATGTTACTTATAGTGACAGAAAACCTCAAAGAGATTATAGGAAAAGAATGATGTACGCATTTGGAAGGGTTTTCTTTGTGATGTGAAATACTCATTTTCTGCTTAGTATTTTATTTAATTTTCCTCCTGGGCCCACCTAATTGCTTTACAATCCAGTGCTCTTATACTTAAATAAGATAAAGCAACTATGTAGTCAGGCCATTTTTACACAGCTTACCTCCACCAAGTCCTGAAATAATTAATGTTTGACAACTCCATAGCTTCCTAGCTAATCTAGGAATGACATTGGACAATATTTTTAATCTACCATGATTTTAAGAATATATTTTTCATGCATATGCCATAAAAAGCTATTCTTGTGGGCATAGCAAACATTTCACTAAGATGTAGTGTGAGAAGAAAGAACCCAGACTTGAACAAAGAAAATGGAGCCCAGAATAGGCTTATCTGAAGAGGGACAGGTTTCTTTGTTTAGCCAGGGGTCCCAACTTTATTATTAGACACATGCCCTTTGGGTGATAATTCCTGGCAGCTGTGTCAAAAGCAGGAAGGCCACACTCTCCTTTGTCTGCTCAGCCTCCTTTTCTTTAAATAGTGGACTTTGCCTGTGTGACCTCAGGTTTTAGTTAGCAAAAGCAATAGGGGCAAACACACAGGATCTTCTGATCTACTATGCAAAGAACTACACTTGATAAAATTCGGGTGTTGTATTGGCTATGAGCCTGGCATGATAGCATCCCAGATTTGGTATTAGCAAGGACCTTAAAGCCTTTCCTCACAGATGAGGAAACTGATGTCCACTGATAGGAAAGATTTTATAGGATTTAAAGCAAGAAGGAAACTTAGAGGCTTTTTAATTCAAGCCATTTATGTTACAAATTAGGGAACCTGTGAGATCATAAGAACCATGATGATGATGATGATGATGATGATGATGATGATGATAGCTAACATTTATATAGCACCTACTGTGTGTCAAGCACCATGCTAAGCTCTTCACAAATGCTAGTCTTGTTTGATCCCCACAACAACCCAAGGAGGTAGTTGCTATTGTTTGCCCCATTTTACAGATAAAGAAATTGAGGTAAACTGAGGTCAAGTGACAAGTCTAGTGTCTGAGCCTGGATTAGAACTCTTTGTGACTCTAGCCAGGGGTGGGGAATCTGTGGCCTTCTAGGTTCTTGGTTTCGGCTTTTTGATTCAGTCCAAGTTTTACAGAACAAATCCTTTTACTAAGAGGACTTGTTCTGTGAAGTTTGGATTCAGTCAAAGGGCTGCACTTAAGGACCTAGAGGGCCACATGTGGCCTCAAGGCTGCAGATTCCCTCTTGGCCCTACATTGTATCCACCTAAAGGACTTGTCTAGACTCACATAAGAAGTTGAATTTGAAACTTGGTCCTCTGACTGCAAATTAAGTGTTCTTTCTATGAGTTCATCGTGATGATCAGTCTAGAGACTGATTAAATAGTAGTTAAATAGTAGTATGTATTCTCTCTTTCTTTTTCCTAGGGTGAGAAGATAATTTTCTATATTCCTACTCTCTTTAAAGATTATATTCAGGAAATCAGTTTTCTGTTGTATCTTTGTTAGCTAAAACTCTACCTGTATAATCAAGCCATTTTCTAGTCCTCAAGTCTGGAGTCCAGAACACCTGATTTTAAATTTGGTCTTAGACAATGCACTGTGTGACCCTGGGCAAGTCACTTCAACCTATTTGCCTTAGTTTCCCCATCTGTAAAATGAACTGGAGAAAGAAATGGCAACTACTCTAGCATCTTTGTCAAGAAAACCCCTAATGGGGTCGTGAAGAGTCAGGAACAACTGAAATGACTGAGTACCATCGCCATCAAAGAATTACTCTGATGCCTTTTTATTACGGAGCCCAGGGTTCTGGAAGGCTGTGTTAGGGCCCCTCATAGTGAAAAATGGCTTCCAGCCCATTGATGGATTATGTCTGTGATTCAAGGACCAACTAGCTGAATTGTGAAAGACATTACCAGAAGCCTGTCCAGTGTGTGATGCTTTTCTTTCTTTTAGTTTCAGAAATTTGTGAAATCATCTCCTGAGTAGTTGTAATCTGAAATACCAGAGGGAGTATAATCACTAATGAATTACAACCCTTTGGGGAGCTGAAGAATTCCAGACAGACTTGAACTGGACAGCTTAGTCCATTAGGTAAATGAGTCAACTTAGTTCACTTTTTAAAAACTAAATCAAAGTATTTTTACATGCATGGAAGAAAGTGAAGAAAGCCTGTGGTATATTGGGTGGACCTCCTGATGCCATCTTGTGGGAGGATATGGATGAGTCACATGGGATGAGTGGGCATGAGTGCATTATGAGCTGTGTATTTGTAGGGCATATTCACATTTTTAAGATCACAGATCCTTTGAAACATTTTAGTATAGGCACAACTCTAAAATAATTCCTCTTTTAGGACTCTCTTTTTACCCTTTAAAATATGATCATATGAGATTAGTTTCCAATTTTTTTTTTTACTAAAGCCTACTGACATACAAAGATGATCACATATAGGAAAAATACATTTAATATAACTAACATTACAAAAATAACTCGTCTGTTAAAAATAAAAAAAAAATAACCATAACTTCCAAGAGTCCAACTCTCTTTCTTTAGTTCAGTTTAAATTTTGGGATAAAATGGAGAGTTCACAAGTTATTGAACAGTTAACAAAAAAGTTTACTTTGCCCTAACAATGGCACTTCAGATCTTGTTGACAAATTTTCCCTCCTTATGGAAACATGTCTTGGCAGCAGGATTCTCATCTAGAGTGACAGATCTAGATTCCACATGGGTGGGACCTTTTAAGTACTCAGGTGACCAGGAAGCTGTGTCCCTGGAGCAGTTACTGTGGACAGCTTTGTCTTTTTTTTAGAGTAGACCTTCTAAACCTTTTCTACTCACACCTGCTTTTCACATTTTGGCAGCATCCCTGGCATTGAGTGGCTTGAGGGCACTCGCAGCGCAAAGTACATTTGCTTTATGTTCAGAACCAAGGCTGCAGTGATGTTGTGAGTGATGCAACAACAGGTAAGCACTGCCAGAAACACCTTGGATTCATTATACATTTGATTTTGAATTAATTTTTGGTTCTTGCGTGTTCAGAAACCTTTTACTATTGCCCAATTTTTGGATCGCGATCCACAATTTAAGAAGCGCTATTTTAGAGAACCGAAATCTCTACCACAGAAGGGCAGGAGGAGGGGTGGGACAGAAGAGGGGAAGGATAGATCTAACTCGTGTAATGGGGAATTGCTGGTAGATAGTAGTTTTATCAAGACACACTGTGTGAGTTCATAAGTAAGCTGACATTCAGCAGTGGCTGGAAAACTAGCCTTAAAACAGGGAAGACCTGGGTTCTTGTCAATGCCTTGAACACTTGGCCTCTTTGTGCCCCTGGGCAAACCACTTACTCAGAGCTCTGGGCCATTGTAAAACAATTAGTTGAACCAAAGGTGCGAATCTGCATTGGTGAAGGAAGTTTCCTCCCCTTGGAGTTCTCCATACTGTGAAAGCATAGGACCAGTCCCTACCTCTCTGCTTATGTGTGAGTTGGGTGAGATGCCTAAATAACACAAGATCCCTACTTTCAGTGAATTTACAGTTTAATAGGGAACATAATAATCTACATAAATGTTTATAATGCAAAAAATAATGATGGGAGTATAATGCAAATACTGTCATCAGGGTATAACTAGAGTTCATAGAAATGAGAAACTATTTTGAATGAGGATGATCAGGAAAGGATTCAAGAATGAAGTAATATTTGGGTTGAACCTTGAAGGATGGGGAAGATTTCATCATAGTTGGTAAGTGTCAGAGGCAGAGCTATAACTGGGACAGGGAGAACATTATTGAAACTGTGTTCTGGAGCACAGGAAATTGGAGGGCCATGAATGAATGAGTGTGCAATTATTAAGCATGTATTCTGTGCTGAGCATTGTGTCAGCAAGCATTGGCTTCTTCAGCCCGTAGAAGCAACTGAATTCAGCACCAAGGTATCAAGAATACTACAAACAGTTGGGGGCAGCTAGATGGCAGTGGATAGAGCACCGACCCTGGATTCAGGAAGACCTGAGTTCAAATGTGTACACTTGATGCTTGCTAGCTGTGTGCCCTTGGGCAAGTCACTTCACCACATTGCCTTGCCCCCCACCCCCAAATAGTAAAAACAGGAAGATGGCAGATGTTATGGGCAGTGAGATGCACAGTGGATAGAGTACTGGGCCTGGAGTCAGGAAGACTCATCTTCCTGAGTTCAAATCTGACCTCAGAAACTTATTAGCTGTGTGACCCTGGGCAAGTCACTTAGCCCTTTTTTGTCTCAGTTTCTTCATCTGGAAGAACAGCTGGAGAAGGAAACGGCAAACCACTCCAGAATCTTTGCCAAGAAAACTTAAATGTGATCATGTAGAGTTGGATGTGACTGAAAGGACTGAACAACAATAGCAGATGTAAATATGAAGCGGTCTTGCCAGTAACAGCTTTAGAATACTCACAGGGCTCTTCCTCCAGCAAGAACTGAATTAATCTTAAAAATATTGTTTGGAAATGTCCACCTGAATTGCTTGTTCTGGCTCCAGAACCACTAGTTACACCTTTAGAAGTGAAAGAAAGAAGTGAGTAGCAGAATTCCAGTTAAGGTTAAGTAAACAAAAACAGTAACAAAGCCATGGAAGCAACAAAAGATGGTGGTATGTCTTGGAAATGGTGAAGAACCCAATATACAGTACTGGAATAGATTGTATATGAAGGGAAGTTGAAAGAGATAAAGCTGGAAAGGAAATTTGATTTCAGGTTATAGAGATCTTTAAATGCTACAAAATCTGCATGTTATTTGAAAAATAGCATGGGTAATAATAATAGCATTTATATAGCACATCAGGGTTTGCAAAGCTCTTAACGTGGTTTTTCATTTAATCTTCAAAGGAACCCTGAAAGGATGGTTGTTAATATCATTCCCAGACGAAGAACATGGGCCTCAGAAGTTAAGTGACTTTCCCAGAGTCACAGGGCTAGTCATTTTCTGTGGCAAAATTTGAACTCAAGTCTTCTCGATTCCAAGCCCAGCCCTCTTTCTACTGTGCCACTTAGCCTTGTAATGGAGAGAAAGCTGACCTCTGAGCCAGGAAGACTTGGGTTGGAGTCTCATCTTTTGCCACAAAATGATCTTGGGCAAGACAAGTAATCTCTTAGGGCTTTAGGCAACTCTCTAAGGATGTAACTTGAAGAGAACATGCTGAGTTGTATTGGCAAAGGAAAGAACTGATCAGGGAGTTCCCTATACCAATGCACTTATAGATCCAGTCTGTCCCTTATGCTGTTCCTTCATCGGTAAGTACAGAGCCATTGAAGGTAGCTTTTGTTTGTTTTGTTTATTTTCAAAATGAGTGACATAATCAAAACTCATCATTAAGAAATAAAATTTGGCAGCAATGGTAGTATGAACTGGGAGCAGGGATGAATAGTATTCATAGAAGGCAACAAAGTGTAATAGAGAGATAATTTGATTTTGGTGTCAAGGAAATTGAGTTTGTACGCTTTATCTGACACAAGTCACATTTCTCTGGCCTTCTTGGAGATAATGATATATGATAGATATATCATACAAGGTTATTATAAGGGAAACACTCTAAATGCCATGGGCTATTTTTATTATTTGGATGTGTGGAAGGCTTAAGCAGTTAGGAATCCATTGTTAGCATCAAGGCAGGAGGAAGTGAGAATGGTGGATAGTGGGAAGGAAGAAGGGGAGAGATATGCCAGATTATCATGGAGGTGGAGGTAGAATCAGCAAGGCTTGACAGTTTAGGAATGACTATCATGCATGATATCTGTAAGAAATTAACAACTGAAATATTAGCAACGTTGGAATGGCTTCATTCATGAAACAAGCAAAAAATCATCAGTGTGAATGGTAAAGCACCTGCAATGCCTTTAGGAGAACCATAGTTCTTGCTAGGAGATGATCTATGCAAATATGCCTTTGGGTTATTTGTAATATTTCATGTTTATAAAATATATTATATAATATAGCACATAATACATAGTATGTAATTTATAATAGAGATCTGCAGTTATATCTTACTTTGTATGTCAAAATATCTAATTTATTTGGTGTTTTAGAACCATATGTATTTCATCTTTCTGCTAAGAACTCTATTTTACATGTGGTTTTAATTAGTCCTCACAATACCCCCTTGGAGAAAGTAGAATCACCTAGTGGTCAGAAGGACCTCTAATCCACGCCCTTCATTTTCCAGATTGGGAAACTGAGGACCAAACATATGAAGTCAGCTACTGAAGGTCACACAGATAGTAAGTGGAATATCCTGATTTGAATACAAATCCAGTACTCTTTTGACTGACCCAGATGATTTTTATCATCTTTGTTGGATATAAAGGTATGTTGAGCTTAGCAAACAGTGAGCCATTGTCAGAGCTAAGAACAGAATCCAGAACTCCTGGTTAAGTGTAATTCAGCTTTTTCCTCTCCTATATCAACACAGGAAAATGTGCTAATTACAATCATGTGATTTTCAACCATTAACTGCCTCTGAACCAGATATAGCATACTCTAATGAAATCGACCAATGAAAGAATTATTTGTCAAATCTTATTTTTAGCTCTTTTGAGTTTCCCTTCCTTTGCTTATTCTCTGAAGGAGATAATAATAAACAACAAAAATTGTAAAAAGAGAACAAGAGGGAGGAGAAGAGGGGGGCCAGAGAGCCCAAATATCCATCTCCTGAATAATCAAGAGATGGCAGTAATTGGGAAGCAAAGACAATGCAACCTTTTATCAAACAAATGTTTAAATGAAAGACCCAGGTTTGAAATGTATATTCCAAAGCCATTTCTTTACTTTCAGAGGCTGAATTTAAACAAAATTAATCTCTTCTAACTCAAATCCTCTTTAAAGGCAAATGGCACTGCTTATCTCTTAGCATCAGTAAGTCCTGTGAACCTAAACACTGTTGCTTCTACAGGCTTTTTAGCTCAGTAGTTCCTAAACAACATTTCAGCCTTTGCCTTCCTCTGGAAACTTCCTTTTTCCACCAGTTACTGTGTTTGCCAAGAGTGACATAACCTTGAAGTTATTTGTTACATTTTCCAGTGAACAAACCCAGCTTGTTAAGGAAATGGGCAGGCTATATCATTAGCAAAGAGCACAATAGAGGACTCAGAAATCAGTCTTGACTAGTTCACTCAGAGTGCTTCAAGTTTCTGGGAAATAGCTCTCATTCTAGAAACAATCCAATATTTTCACTACAACACAAGGATGGATTAGCTGGGAAGGGTTGACTGGGAAGTGTGTCACTTCTTATTCCTAAATGGTGTTGATATGCACATGCTTTTTAGTGGCTGCTATTCCAGTTTCAGTAAAATCATTTAAACCCCATGTAAGGAGTTTATTTTACATAATAAGACCACTATTAAATAAATATCACTTTTAAGTAAGATGAGAAAGAGGTAATTCTATAAACTCACCTGACAACTGTTAATTTTTAAATATTTGAAATTTTCAGATAAGAGCTAATCAGTTAACAATCCTTATACGAGCAATATGAGTCTAACAAATTAATCTAGGGAATTCCACAATGAAAATATGTGGTTTTCCAAGAGCCAGAGAAGGCCTGAAGATTGAGCTAACCCACAAGCAATAAGTTACTTTTTTCCTTCTTTATATGCTAGCACTATAACACATTTTAATATTCATTGAGACAAATTCCTATGTGGCCCCAAAAGACTCCAACCTTGTGAGTCAGACAATTCTGAAAATTGCATAAGCTAGTTTTTATTCACTAAGCTACTTTTTAATATGCAGAAATGAAATTTTTTCAGAACTCTGATCCTACTTCCAAACAAGACCAACTTTTAAAACTTAAAAAAAGTCAAGACAAAAAAACCCCACATGATGCTTATTTGAGTTCCCTAATTTTGTTAGGGAATCTTGGTTCTGGTCTAAGATCTCCCCCAAACTCTCTGTGTGACCATATGGGAAATGACTTACCTTCTCCTAGATTCACTTTCTTCATCTGAGATAGTTAACTTCTCTAAGTTTCCTGACTTGAAAATTTTATTCTTCTGTCATATTTGTTCATTTTCAAAATTGATATTGCAATGGAAAGGGAATACGCAACAGAGAACTCGTGACTTTACATTTGTAATTAGAAGGAATAGTTATCCCTAGGTCTATAATTCATAATGTGATACATGATGATGCACATTATATACTCAGTGCTGAGAAAATATCTCACCCAAAGAAGCAACACAATATATGTCATCTTGCTCTGGAGATTGTAAAGAAGAGAATAGAATTCCTTATTCCTGGGTATGCAAAGGTCTGCCTGAAGACAGAAGGATGAACCACTATGGGGAAAAATAGAAATTTCTAGCTTTTGTTTTCAGTAAAACCTCTAGGATTCAGATTCAATTAATTTGGAATATATGGTAATTCAGAGAAAGTCTGGGTTGATATTCACATTTATATGATGAAAATGGGGCTTACTGGAAATTCAACTAAACGGTATAAATAAGACTTCAAGAAAACTGCTTAACTTATCTGGGAAAATGAACTCTATAAACACAAACATGTAAACAACTCCCATGTTAATAGTATACATACAAACATATATACATACATATACACATAAGTATATGTGCACATACATATACTTGTGTATAGGTACCATGCATATGTGTGTAAGCATATGTATGTATATATGTGTGTACAGACACATACATACACACATAGGCATGATAACCTTCCCAGAATGATTTTATGTATTTAAGTCATTAGGTATATAATGAATTGATGTTTATTCTAAAATCATGTATAATTCAGACTTCTTACTATGTACTCTAACCAACATTTCCTTCAGCCTGAATTAGATTTTAAGTGCCTTTGTGGTTTTGTGTACATACATTTTCATTTTTTTCCTGCCACAATATCTCACTCAGACAGAATAAAGCTCTGCTGATGATGACTGATGATAACTTTACAACCATAAAACACATCAAAATATCGCTATTCTTATTTCACAAGTTTAATATCATATTTCTTATAAAATGGAAACATTAACACTGGGTATTCTCTTGTGATTTCCTCATCATACTATCTTTTCCAAAATTCTTAAACATATGATACAAGGCTTTTTATGATGATGAATATTTGATGAATTTATATGCTTTTACATTATAGAGATTGAGAGTTTGATACCAATTCTAACTGGTTTGAAACAGCTTCCTTGGAAGATGGATATGATTTGGAATTTTACATATTGAATTAACTATAGAAAACCATCTGGAGATGTATATGTACATATGTCTTATGTCTTTACATTGAAAGAGATAAAATAAAAGAACACTAATATAAAACCAATATAATTCTCTGTTTTACTTTGTAGTCAACACACTACTGGCAAGAATTTGTGGCCAGTAACTACTTGAAATATTCTGGTCTGCCCCAAGTAGCTGGCATGGTAATGCCTGTTGATAGTTGTGACAGCTATCAAGCTACATGCTTAATCAAGATCAGTTGCCTTTGCTGTAAGTCTGACTATGTCTTAAATTTTTCATGGCAGGAGTGATTAGTATAACTCTAACAGCTATTTAGCTAATGTTGATACTACTGCCTGGAGGGTAGACATAGTACTGAGCTCAGGTTCCATTCCTAATTGAAGGAATAGCTGATAAATTCCCCCAGAATTCTGTTTGGCTATGTATTACTTGTCTATCCTGGAGCCCCAAACTGCTTCCCACTCTCATATAGTGATAGCCCTGATAACATAGCCCTGAAGAGCATTGTTGTGAGGTATGCTATATACCTTTGAACTGTTCTGACAGATTTTTTAAATCAGTTTCATAGGACGCTTTCTGCCATCTTACTTTGTTGTTATGTTGGGGGAGGGGAGAACTATATAAATGAAAGCTAGGATAAGCAGCAACATTAAGCTAAATGATATCTTCTTTCAGTTATTAAAGCTATCATCATCTTGGGTTCTAATTTTCAAAAATAAGCAGGATTTTAAGGAATGATATCTGCAGTATATGCCATAGAAAAATGGTATGGCATAGTGAATATTGGTTCACTGAAGACGTGTTTAAATCCTTTCTCACACACTTCTTAGATCTGTGACTCTGGGGAAGTTATGAGACCTCTCTGTGCCTTAGTTTTTTTTTCATACTTAAAATAAGGAGATTGGGCTCAGTGGTATTTAAGGTTTCCAGCTCTAAATCCTTTGGTCAGTCAACAAACCTTCATTAGGCACTATGTGCAAGGCTCAGTGCCAAGTAATGGGGGTATAAGAAAAGATAGTTACTGACCTTCAGCAGCTCACATTCTAATAGGGGAGATAACATGCAAAAATATTTACACACAAGATAATATACAGTGTAATGGAAGGTAATTCCATAAAGAAAGTGCTACTAGTTGATGGAGGTGAGGATGAGCTTCTATACAAGGTAGGTTTTGGGCTGAGTCCCGAAGAAAGCCAAGGAAGCTAGGAGGTGGAAGAGAGGAGAGGAAAATATTTCAGGTATAGGGCCAATGAATAGCACAGGGATGAGAGATGGATTGTAATGTGCAAGAGGTATCAAGAAGGCTAGAGTCCCTGGATCATAGAGTACATGGGAGGGAATAAAATGTAAGGAAACAGCAATGGTAGGATGGGACCAGGTAGTAAAGGGCTTTGAACACCAAATAGTGGATTTCATATTTGATCCTGGAGGCAATGGGGAGTAATTGGAGTTTGAGTAGAAGAGGGTAAAATGATTGGACCTCAGCTATGATGGAATCTATGATGTCATGATTCATCTCTGGAGTTATTTTCTTTTTCTTTCTGTCAACCTGTTATACCTTATTTTGCTTCTTGAAAGACTCTATCACTTTTTTTCTTTTTTTCTTCTTCAAGTGAACAAGCATTTATTGAGTTTTCACCATCTTCCAGGCATTGTTTTAAGAACTGAAAATACATATACAAGCCAAAAGAAGGGAACAGAAGTGGGAGGGGGAGGTCCCTGTCTTCAAGGGGCTTAACTTTTTAAAATTAATTAATTAACTTTTAGTTTTCAACGCTCACTTCCACAAGATTTTGAATTCCAAATTTTCTCCCCATCTCGTCCCTCCCCCCACCCCAAGATGGCATGCATTCTGAATACCCCAATCTGCCCACTCTTCTATCTCCCCCACCCCACTTCTCTTATCCCCTTCTCCTTCAATTTTCCTGTAGGGCAGGATAGATTTCTATACCCCATTTCCTGCATATCTTATTTCCCAGTTGCATGTGAAAATAT